GTGCGGTTTGCGCTTCAACAACAGTTTCCAAGACCAAAATTAGGTAAAGTTTATGAATTTTTTACTTTGATTTTGTTGAAGTAGTGTTCTCCTTTCTTCCTTTCTGTGGTTGATTTTGGAATTTTTTGGAGGGAATTAGGGTTGGGAGTGAGAATGTGTTGAGTGTGCTGGAATTGTTAAGGGTCCTGACATCGTTCCTCCTCCCCCTTTATGCAGAAATTACGATGTCTTCAGAAGAGGCCAGGAGTGTAGTGGGGAGTGAAGTGATGCCCTTGGAGTATGGTGGCATGGATTCGGAAACCAGTCCGTCTCCAACTAGCTCGGAGGGGACGGTGGAGGATAGAATGGAGGAAAGGGTAATAGAAGAGGAGGAGGAAGAAATCCCCTCAAACATTTTGGAATCTGGGGGGGCGTAGATGGGTGCTATAACCCAGACTTAGAGGTAGTTTCTGAGGTGAGGGGGTATGTGAGTGAATTAAGGAGTAGGAGTAGCCTTAGGGGGTTAGTAGAGAACTGTAACCTTCCCCACCACATCCTAATCAGGCCTGCCGGGGTGAATGAGAGGGCATGCTCAGCACCCCGAGACCATTGGATGCCCATATACCTGCATTATTTGATTGTAGGGCTTAGATTTCCCATTCCAGAATTACTGGTTGGGCTATTATTAGATTATAGTAGAGGAATAACCCAGCTAACTCCAAATGCCATGAGGGTAGTAATAGGTTTTCTTGTATACTGCAGAGTTTGGGGGGTTGGGTTCCCGACAGTGAATATGTTCAAACATTTTTTTGTAATTAAGGCTGGGGGTAGGGGGGAGAAGGGGTGGTACCACTTCGGTCTTCGGTCGTCCAGCAAAGAGAATATGACTTTATTCTCTGCTGGGCCGTCATCCATCAAAGGATGGAAAGAAAAATTCCTCTTTGTGGATGACACCGAGTGGAGTAGGAGGGATGCCGAAGTGGAACAGTTGTCTGCTTGGAAAGCGAAGAAAACCAAGCAGAACAACTATAAGTTGAATGAGGATGAGGTGGAGGAGGTGAAGAAGCTGGTGAGGGAAGATGGGGATGTGATGGATATCTTGTACTTCACCAGCCCGAAGGCGATAGATGGTGCTGAACTCTATGGGCCAAGCTCATTGGGGGAAGGTTGGTGGATGTTTGCAATTGTGGTGAGAATTTAATTGATATGTTCTGACATTGATGTTTGTTTTGCAGCTGAGATGGACGAGTTCGTTACTGCTGCTGGGGGCCTGCGCATCCCCAAGAGGCCAAGGAAGAAGTCAAAGACTTCAACTGCGGCGGAGAAAGAGGTGACGGAGGGGGGGCGACTGTCCAGCACTTCTGCCGAGGTGATGGAGGTGCAGCCAAGGCCGGAGCCTGTGATGGGGGGTAGCGAGGATGGAAGCGGGGAGATGGCACCTCTCCAGAGGAAGAAGAGGAGGGTGGCAAAGCTAGGCACCCGGAGGAACGAAGTGGTGGAGTTCGTGCCTCGGCCTTCTCCTCCGGAGATTGATCCTGAGGTCTGGGAGAGGGAAGAGGCCGAGGTACGAGGCCCTGGCAGGGGCAAGGAGCTCATCCCTCCTCTTTTGCTTGAGAAAAGTCTGTTTGAGGCGGCAAACATGACAGGGGCGAAGCACTTCCTCAACCGTACTCTCCCTGAGGTGGATAGGCAGCGGGCGAGGGATGAGGCGGTGGGCCATGCAGGGTATACCGTTGTGAGGCACGCCCTAGAGGTATGCAAAATAGTTTGAATTTAATCTAGTTGTGTGTTTTGAGTTTTTTGACCTCTGTATCTGATGTTTGGCTTCTTGATTGCATTGTAGAGTGTGAGCTGGACGAACGCTCTGGCGCAGGAGTATGCAGAGAGCGTGAGAGATCGCGCCAGCTTGCAGAAGCAGTGCGAACAGCTGCAGAAGGAAAGGGATGAGCTGCAGAAGGAGAAGGGGGAATGGGGGAAGGAGAAGAGGGAGATGCAGAGGAGGCTGGATGAAGTTCTCCCTTCAGTGACCGAGCTCCAGAACGAGAATGATGTCCTGAGCACAAAGCTTGGCCTTGAAGAACGTAAGAGGAAGATCTGTGAGGAGAAGGTCGAGGCTCAGGACAAATACATGGACATCATGAGGAAAGGAGCAGCGGAGCTGAAGAAGAACGTGAACACGCTGGTTCACAACGGGATGGAGGAGCACATTGGCAACTTCCTCAACTCCAGCACCTTTGAGGACATCCTCAAACTCTACCGGCTGCCAACCGCAATCGTGGCCTTCACCGACTGTAGAAAGAAGGTGAAGGTTCAGTACCCAGAGGTAGATGTGACAACTGTTACCTTTGGGGAACAAGAAGAAGGGGTGGAGGAAGATGGGGAGAGCCTCTGTGCTGACTTCCGACCTCAGATCACGCTGAGGTGGGAGCGTGATGCAGAGGGGC